GTATTTTATTGAAAAACTAATCCAGAATTTTTTGGAAAACTTGAAAAAAATCAATACAAAACTCACCTTTTAAATAATGAATTTTTTTGAGCTTTCTTTCGACTACGTCTCTTTTCACTACAAAACAAACGTTTTCCTTTATCAACTCCCTTCGTTTGTTTTATTCTTCCCATAATTACAAAATCACACAAAAACACTGCCGACAATGAACAGAATAAGTCCGCGAAACCGAATTTACATTAGAATAAATAAATGTCTACCTCAATCTAGTCAAAATCACAAAAACAAATAGAAATAAAATCTTTCCGTAGGCTGGAACGCACGACTATGGTGTTACTGGCGGACGGTCGCTTGGTAACTAAATCACTTATTTACCTGTTATTTGGCTACCGCGGCGCCACTAATCAATCGTTGCAAAATGCACTTTTTATTTTACGCCCCAAAGGTTCATTTATCATTATTTACAAATGAAAATTATACCAAAGATTTAAAAAAAAAGCTACACTTTCGGGAAACATATTAATAAAAAAATTGATAAAAATATTTTAAAAATATTAATATGTTCTTCACAATAAAAAAAAATCAAATACTTTCCCGTTAAACAGATTTTTTTTTAACCGACTATTGAAAATTTCATGAAAATCGGATATGTGATATGGAAATAGAAGGTAAAATCGTTTCAAGTGAGTATGAAGCCCTCTTAAGGTTAGTTTACTTGACTTTGACCGACCACAACACTACTTGTTCGAAAAACAGTCACACGAGCGAGACAACCGAATCACACTATCGAATGAAAATTATCTATCGGAGCGTACTTTTTGAACTCAGCCCTGGATACTAGTTTGTCGATGTACATTGGCGTATCTCAGTACAGAAGGCACTTTCTAGGACCGGGAACGGAACATACTTAAAATATTGTTCAGCTTTTTCTCGAAAATTGCACATAATTGCCAGGTGCTGATGAACTACGTTGGCTGTTAAGTTATGGCGCTTAAGGTATTCTGTAGGCGCTAACACCGTGCATCCCGATACTACGAATAGTGCTCAATCGTTTCTGAGTGGCGACGACACATTCTACACAAGTCGTTATTGGGTCGAACTCCGTGGATAATTTGAATATGATTTCTTGTCGCTATAACGTTGCCTGGAATCGCCACCAAAAATCCCTCAGTTTCTCCTACAAAATATCCCTTTCTCAGCCATTCTATGGGGATTCAATTTTGGATTGCTGTTGATTGGGGATACTTTCCATGAAGGGGCTTCGACAGCCATTCACTTTTTAGTATGCTAAGATCAGTAAGTGCTAATCTTTCTTATTTGAGTTTAACTGGAGTAGTTATCTAGTTGAGTTACGACTCGGTGAAAAGGATTTATCTCGGAAGTATTTTTTTTTTTGTTTATTTATTTGCTTCTGATAAAGTAACTTTATATCTAACAGTCTTCGGCCAACCAGTTTCCGATGAATATATAGCCTTTCTGTACAAGCTTTTGGATGGTGAATTAAGTATTTTGTCATTTACACACGAATCGATCGATTTAGAGCCTCTAACTCCGTGTTTGACCACCCAAAGACGCCAAAGGAATATGACATTGTAGGGATTACCCAAGCATTAATTGCTCTAATTTTGTTTTTTTTGCTGTTAAATCAGTACGCAGAATTTGTTTCGTTTTTTCTCGAGTGTTTGTGTAAGATGTTTTTTCGCCTCTTTCTTATTAATTACAAGTTGTTATTCTTACCCCAGGTATTTATAACTCTCATTATTCAGGTATTTTATGTTCTCCATTTCGATATACTCGTACTCTGTAGGCTTTCCCGGTATGCTACTAATTTTGCGCATTTTGATAAAGGATTGAATCACAAAGCACTAAGAGAGTTACCTTGGAATATACCGCTTTGAATCTGTATTTCATCTGTTACTATTATTTCGTTGATATGTGAGAGATTAAGAGTTGTTCGCCAGGAATTCATGCACTCACTTAGAAATCTAACAATATCTTCATCTATTTTGTACGATTTCAGTACTTCTAGTAGCCAACTGTGTGGTACAGAGTCAAACGCCTTCTGGCAGTCAATCCATGCCACTGCGATGTTACACGATCTATGTTTGGCATCTTGTGTGACTACTGAGTCGAGTTCTTCTTTGCACCCCTGTGTTTTCTCTCTGCATCCTTTTTGTTCCTCTGGTAATATGTCTTTTTCTAGTAGATGACTGTCAATTTTTTCCGCAATGATGGAAGTGATTATTTTATAAAGTGTGGGAAGACAAGTGATCGGACGATAATTTTTTGGGTCTTCTGTTTTGTCCAACTTCGGAAGAATGTACGTCACTCCTTTAGTCAAATAATCTGGCATTTTTTCCTTGTTGGTGATGATACAGTTTATTTGCGCAGCAAGAGGTTTCCACACATTAGGTTTTTCTACCAATAGTTGTGAAGTGAATCAATTCCCGCAGTTTTCCAATTTTGAGTTTTCGCAACCGCTTTCTTCACGTCCTCCTCTGTAACTCGGATAGGATTCCTTTTTGGTAGTGCTTGACAGTCTTCTCTTTCAGTTTTTAATCATGTAGCTTGTCTGTTGTATTCGCCCTTTTTTCCAGATGTTTGACCAGAATTCACTAAGATTTTTATTGCTTGGTGGAACTGCATTTTCTTATTTTCTTGATTCCAGTGACTTGTAAAATTGCTTTTCATTTTGTAGAAGGTCTTATTTTGTTCCTTTCTTTTATAGCTTTTGTTATATCGTTTTAATCTTTTTCCCTGTGCCGCTATTCTTTGCTTAAGTTCGTCATTAAAAGTGGTGACGCCCGGTCTAACGCACGTAGGATCGTATTTGAAGAAGCAGGCAGGTCGCCGTCGATATGCCTTTCGGTCAGTACGCAACAAGTGTTCACGCGGACTGGTCACTTTGTGCGCTTTTTACGTTTCGCTCTAGGAGAGATTTCGGTCTCTTACACCAACGTCACTGCTTGTGTTATAAAAAAGTATATTGTTAGGAAAAGTGCTCATCTATTTTGCAGGTAAGAATTTATTAGAATTTGATTGTTAGGGCACTAGTTTATGTGTTTATTTAATATTTTAGAAAGATGGACAACTATGAGCAAGAACAAAGACGGTTGGAATCTGGTCCCTTGGTATATGACGATGAAGTTGAAGAGAATGTAGAGGACCAACTTGAGACAAATGCCGAAAGTTCTGATACAGAGCAGGAGTTTGAAGACGACGACGACCTAGAAGTAAGATTGGAACCACATTTTATTGGGAAAGACAAAAAAACAGTTTGGAAAAAAAACAAACCTCCGAAGAATGTTAGAACAAGGGCTAAAAATATTGTCAGAATGAAGCTGCCTTCTGTAAAGCCTGACCTACGAGAACTCAGAAATCCTCTGGAAATATGGAGGCAGTTTTTTGATGACGAAATGATAAATTTGATAATACTTCATACAAATGAATATTTGCAATCGGTAGCTGATGAATATAATCGAGCAACCTATACAAGACCTACAGACAAGTTAGAGATTGAAGCCCTTTTGGGCTTGCTGATTTTTTCTGGAGTTGCTAAAAGTAACCACACAAACGCGGAAAACCTATTTAGAACCAACGGTAGCTCTCCAGACATTTATCGAATGACAATGTCGTTGCAACGTTTTCGTATACTACTGCGTTTTATTCGATTCGATGACGTTGTAACTAGAGAAGCCAGACAAGAATTAGATAAATTGGCTCCAATAAGAGAACTCTTCGAACAGTTTGTGACAAATTGCAAGAAAAACTTTAATTTATCACAACAGGTCACTGTTGATGAAAAACTGGAAGCATTTCGTGGTAGGTGTGGCTTTCGGCAATATATGCCTCTAAAACCCAGTAAGTATGGAATTAAGATTTTTGCGTTATGCGACGAAAATTTATTCTACACTTATAATCTAGAAGTTTATGTTGGTAATCAACCTGAAGGGCCCTTTGCTCAGAGTAACAGCGCAATGTCGGTGGTTAAAAGGTTGACTGAACCAATATATGGTAGTAATAGAAATGTTACAACCGATAGATGGTTCACCAGTATTGAATTAGCAAAAGAACTACTCAGTAAGGGATTAACAACTATAGGAACGATCCGAGCGAATAAAAGGGAACTTCCTCCTGAATTTGTTCAAAAAAATAACCGATCCATTGGTTCCAGTATGTTTGGATTCAGGCAAGATTGCACTCTCGTTTCTTACATTCCAAAAAAAAATAAGAACGTCCTTCTTATTTCGACCTGTCATGATGACGACCAGATTAATTTGCAAACAGGCAAGCCAGAAATAATTATGGATTACAATGGGACCAAAAGTGGAGTAGATACCGTAGATCAACTTTCATCGAATTACAACTGTGCAAGAACCACAAGAAGGTGGCAAATGGCTGTTTTTTATAGCTTATTAAATATTTCTGGCATAAATTCACAGGTAATATATTCCATCAATAAAAAAGAAAAAATTGTAAGAAGGCATTTTCTTGAAAATTTAGCTCTTAGTTTAATTGATGGTCATCTAAGAGTACGTGCCAATTCTAACTATTTGCCTAAATTGATACGCCTTAGAATTTGTGAAATATGTGGGATACAACCACCACAGGAACCATATGAAGAACGACGAAACATGTTGGGAAGATGTGTGCCTTGCGGGTCTAAAAAAAATAGAAAGACGAAATATTGCTGTAAAAGGTGCAAACAATTTTTATGCATGGAACATGTGTCAGTTACATGTGCAAGGTGTTATGAGTTACAAAATACACAAGAACAATAAATAAGTACTTGTTGCTTGTATTTGTTATATTTTTATAATTTATATAATTCATTATGTAATTCGGTTTTAGTTATGTTAAGGTTTACTTATTTAAATTGCTTAATATAAGATCCTTTCATAAATTACATAGTTTTATTTAATAAATCTTAAATATGTTTTAAGAATTTGACGTTACTATACCCATAAACATTTTTTGGTCTCTCAGACCGACGTCACAGTTTATGCGACAACTTCGCACGTCACTACCCAAGGGTTAAAGACTGCTAACTTTTCGTTGTAATTTTTGTCACCACCTTTGATGTTTTTAACTTTTAGAATCCTTTTCACATCTTTTGCACTTAGATTTCCTTTGTCGGAAGCGCATATTTTCGTCAATTTCCTCCTTATTTGTTTAATGTTTGTTTCCAATCTTATTTTCCATCGAGGATCTTTTCGTTCTGTTCTTAATGTTTGTTTTTGTATTTTTATACCCATGTGTTGTATTACCGTTAGCGCTCCGCAGTATATCAGACACTGCGTTTTTGAGATGGAGTCGCTTTCTTCGAGTAAATTTATCATTTCTTTATTGATAATGTCGATTCTTTCTTTAGTTTTTAAGTTTGGTCTGATTTTCGGAAGTTTATCTCTTCTCTTTGGGTCCGTTCCTTGGTACAGACCTATGAATTTTTTAAGGTTACATAGGATTTCAGTTTTTACCTTGTGTTTTTTTGATTCAGTTTCAACCGGTTGGTGTTCTGCAGTCCCTGTAACCTCAACAACAGGTTCTGTATTTATTTTTTCTATAATTTTTTCCTGATCACCCAGTTTTTGTAAAAGTGTAGTTTCTACCTCAAGAACCATGTCTTCCTAATTTTGAGTGCCCAGTTGAAGACGTCTAATGTATACCTCTTTATTTTCTACTGTCTTCTTAAGTTTATTAATTTCTTTGATAAGTGTTTCCACTTTTTCCTCTTCTATTGTATATGTTTGTTGACATTTCAAAGAGCAATGTATCTTATTGCCTTCCAATTTTTATTATCTCTTTCTAAACAGCTGTTATGATATACATTAAAACATACAACACAAATAAAAATTGTAAATTCCTTATTATTACAGTATTTAAATTTGAGATCCATTTTCTCACCATTCAGTTTTAAAATTCAATTTTTATTTATTTAAAACTTTATTTATTTCAAAACTTTATTTCTGTAGCTCTTTCTCAAGTAACACCACTGACATAAAAATTCTCATAGTTTATAAAATAAAATGTGGTCAGTACCGTTTATCTTATCAGAGCTGGTTTTTGTCTTGTTCTAGTCCAACAAAAAACGCTTAAATACTTAATGCACCTACTTGATGACTGACGTTTATTGATTAATTTTTCAGAATATTTTCTGGAAAATATAACCACTGAATGGGAAATAAATTACACAATACACGGATATAAAAATCACTAATACTTTTTGAGTATTTCTATTAAAATTTAACCAGAGAATATTTTTAGCTTGACCTTACTACTATATCAGCTCCGAAGTCGCCTTTAAGAACCAAGGATTTAGAAAATGGAAAAAATCAGGAAAAATTACAAAAACACGTTCAATCAATATTTAACTTTTCAATAGAATCTACAATTTCAAGGCAATAAAAAAGAAGGCACTGTTATTAACCAGATTTCATCCTCAATTAAAGATCAATTGAATAAAAATCAAGAGTATTTCAAACAAATTGCAGATATTGTTTTAACCCTATCTCGTCAGGCCTTGAGAGGGTATGACGAGTCCGTCCAATCTACAAACAAAGGTAATTTCAAAAAAACATGTTAATTATTTTCTCGGCACAACAGTTCATTTTCTAATATGTATTGCAAACATTATAATCTAAGTAGTCCTGAAATACAGAACGAACTAATTTATACAGTGAGCATCATAAGTCTTACCCCCCTATCTAACTCGTCACTGGAGTCTTGTTAGTAAAATCGCCGAGACACATCGATTTTTGATTTCTACAATGTACATTTTTTTATGAATAGTTCACCCTTAGTTTCATCCCTTACTGGAGGGGAGCAACCCTTTCGAAACATTTAAATGGCATGGGGTGGGGAGTGATAGCTCATTTGAAAGGGGGTTTTATTCTCTATTCAACCATGCAAAAAATTTTGAATTGCCTCATTACGTGTTGATTTATTAATGTTTAAAAATAACAAAATATCACAAACAGGAAAGCAACTAAACTAACAGTGACCTTATCTAATGGCAAAAAGTCTTACTTCACGTTTGAACCAAAACCGATATCATGCAGGGCCGAATTTTAATGCTAAGGATGAGTGCGCTACGATAATTTTCGTTATTCTGCAACAATAATTAGTCGAGAATTAATAAAGCAAATTTCAATTTTTTTTTGCACAGTTGAATAGAGAATAAACCCCTCTTTCAAATGAGCTATCACCCACCACCTCATGCTATTTAAATTTTTCGAAAGGGTTGCTCCCCTCCAGTAAGGGATGAAATTAAGGGTAAACTATTCATACAAAAATTTACATTGTAGAAATCTAAAATCGACGTGTCTCGGCAATTTTCCTAACAAGACTCCAGTAACGAGTTACATAGGGGGGGGGGGGGTAAGACTTATGATGCTCACTGTATAAGAGCAGATTTGATTAAACAATTATAAATGAAATAAAAGAATGTGGAATGTTTGCATTATTGGCAGATGAAGCTAGATGTTTTAAGGACCAACAACTATCTCATATTACACTCTGTTTTTATTTTTAAGTATTATTTACTATTAAATTTAGTTAATAGTTTTGAACCATACCTTGTATATAATATGATTCGAGTATTACACTCAGTTTTTATTTTTAAGTATTATTTACCATTAAATTTAGTTAATAGTTTTGTACCATACCTCCTATAAAATATTATTCTTATTTTGGGTTAATTAGAGCATCTCTTTATCCATAACATGTCATTTTATATTATTCTCATCCAAATTACATTAATATAATATATATAATTTAGTATAAATCCGATAATTATTTGGTTTGTTTATTTTTGTAGTCATATGTTCGAATTATTACCTGTTGTCAAATTAATTGTCAAATCAATTGGCTCTAGGCATTGGCCTGTGCTGTATTGTGTGGTCCGATTGGTGTCTGTTTGGAATTGCTCGGTTAGTCTCGTTCCTCAGGTACAAACAAGAAGTGTTTTCTTCGTTTTAGCTGTTCTGGTCCGATCGGTGCATACAGCCACTTATTTTTTAAGGGTTGTTCCTTTTATTCAATAATAAATATTTTGGGTAATTAATATTCATAGGGGGTTTATATCATTGTATTTAGGGTGAAATGCAATAAATTGATTTATTTTATACCGTATTATTATCACAGCTGATTCTAGATTACATTTGGCTGGAATGTTTTATTTTAAAGGCCTTGCTAATTGAGAAAAGCGTAGTCTTAATGTCAGTGGGTTTTCGGGCAAAAATCGCTCTCTTGCAACCTGTTCGGCGTGCCGATAAGAAACCAAACCAAATTAGCACCTGTTTTGTAATTGGTGGATCTAGGTTGGTTTCTTTAAAAAAGTTTCCAGAATTTCAAAGTAAGAAATTTATTATTCTTTTGGTTCGTTTCATTCACGGAAATTTAGTTCATTTACGGGAACTATTGTTTTGAGGAGGATTTACAATTGGCTTCAAAACGACTGGGTGATCACAGGGGCACATGTCAGTGGGAACGTACCCGCCATCTTCCTTAAGGAATTTGGCTATATCATCATGGCTACTAAGGCTCATTATGTCCATGTTATGCGGTGGAACCTCTCAACAGATGGAGCAGGGTTTATTACCAGTCCTTCGTATAGCTCGAACCTCGAGCGCTATTGAGGAGTCTCAGGGGAAACACGAGGCTATAGGCTGTGACACCACCTTCCCACGAAGTTCCATAACGCCTGTCATAAACCTACCTTGGCAGTCTTGGCTTTCATCTTTAGAAGAGCTACAAAAATATAAGTGTTTACTAGTGTATTCTAGTGTAGTGTTCATTCACTTATTTAACTTTTGTTTGATTGATTTAGTGGAATATTTATTCATATTGCCTAGTGCAGGCTGTAAGTGCTTATTATCATTATTTACAGAGAAGAGGTGTACCCCTAAAGGGACACTAAATTTTTATTTCATTTAACTAATGTTGTTTTAATTATTCTGAAAAAAAAAACTGTTTCATATATTGTTATTGGGTACCTAGTACATAATGGTTAGTTAACATTTTCTTTTATTGTTGGTGGGTTATTTATCTATAATATATTTTTGCTTTTAGGAAATTAAGATTAAGTTAAGTTAAGGTGATACATTTGCACACCTTCAATATGCTTTAAGCGAATCTTGTAGGGTTTACTATCGCAGGTTTTAAGTTTTTATATACCTTATGCTTATTTGTACAAAATACTTTTAACAGCACAGAACACTGGTTGTGACAGTCAAACCCTCTCATTTATTTCTTTTCTCTGTCACAATAGTTGCGAAACATGTTTTAATTTAATTTATTTTTAAATACTTGTACCCTATTATACGCCGCCCCCTTTGTTCGAACAAATGGAGTGCCTATTTAACCCTGAAGGTTAAAATTGTAAGCTGCATACTCTTATTATTGTAATAAAGCCCAGTAACAATATCCTGAGTTTCGTTTCTTTTCAAATATAGGCTACTGTGATGTTCAGTTGGTTACTGGAGTATAAAAGGTAAGCTAATTACTATTATTATAAGATTGCTGATTCTCCGCTGACTCCAGATGCATTGGTAAACATTCTTCACTAAATGTACTTATATTAATTGATTTATTCACATAATTAGTGATTTCTTAGGACTAAGAAGATAAATTTTGTGTTATCTGTTCTCTCAACAACGAGTGATTTTGTGATTTGAGTGGTCCTTATTAAATCTCGCGCGTTATAAATTTGTGGAACTACCCCTGCTGAGCTAGTTGAGCTAGTTGAGATAATTACGAGTTGACTTCATAGGCAAGAGATAGTAAGAATTTTTATTATTCAATTTATTTTCAGTAATATCTGTAGGCCAAAATTTAAGCATAAACTAGTAATAATATTTAGAAGAAAATTAGAAAGAACTCGTACTACTGTATGTATAAGATATGTCGTGGGTCCCAAAATAAAAATAGATATTTAAAATTCATAGATTGTTCCCAGCAACGCACTGAAGAAAGTTTGAGTCAACTTTTGATAACACATTTAGAAAAAGTTGGTTTGGATAAGGCGCTTATTGTTGCTCAGGCCTATGATGGAGCCAGTGTAATCTCAGGCACAAAGGGTGGGTTACAGGCAAAAATCCGACAAAGATACCCAACAGCTATGTACATTCATTGTATGGCACATAAGCTTAATCTAGCAATAACTGACACATGTAGCATACAGAGTGTAAGAATTTTTTAATACACTGGAAGCACTCTATGTACATTTCCCGCAGCCATAAAATCATAAAACTTTTACCGATATACAAGATAAATTGGGAATTAAACAAATCGAAACAACGCGATTGTCAGATACCAGGTGGAGTTGCAGAAGTACCAATTGTGAAGCAGTTAAAATCAATTTTTCAGTCTTAATTGAAGCTTTGAAACTTGAAATTGAAGATAACTCGAATAGAAATTCAGTCGAAGCAATATGTCGAAAGGAACATTTCTTAGTAAATATTTGCAAGGAAAGGAATGTATATTAGCCAAATCTACTGGTATATTAAATCGTTCTTATCTTTATGGGAAGAAATGAAATATTGGCAAACAAGCATGAAATCAGTCTAGAATCATTGCGACCATCTAAACGAAAAAAAAAAAAAAAAAAAAAAAAAAAAAAAAA